AATATTTGATGACAACATCGACTCGTGAACTTTGACGCATCCTTTGTTTACTGATATTATATAAAGTTTTAGCGTTAAAAGTTAGACGTGAAAATGTTTTTAACAAATCAATGATTGACAGACATTGGATTTTTTTACTCCATAATGATCCATGTTGACTTCATTATAAAAAAAAGTGTATAGGCACGTGAAACGCGACTTAGTACGATTGGGATGTGGTCTGCGAGTTCCTGCGGGAATGCCCACTAGTGTTGTGGTCCGCGACAGCGCGGCTGGCGCCGTCCCCGCCCGCCTAACGATACTACAACAAACACAAAACGTTTTACTATTTACATCTCAGTCCGCTTGCTGTTTAACAATTACAGTTTATTTATTTTACAATTTAAATATTTAACAAAACGATAAAACGTAGCAACCGTAATAAATACAAACACAAAAAAAATTAATAACGGGCTTTCGGAGAATAAATATGCAAATCTTTTCTCTAAGTTGTAATAAGAAATAACGGCCGCCAAAACTTTTGTAACGAGCTGATCCCCGGTTGTTCGCAAGACGTCTCGTGTCAATCAGCGCAGCGGCCACCGCCTCTCTGCCTCACGGCCGCTCTGTCACTCCTCAAAAGTAACTCTTTTTCTCTTTTAATTGTTAATATTTTTTTTACAAAAACGTTGTGTTGCTAATTAAGTTGTAATTACTGATTACTGGTAAACTAATTGATATTTGAATGGTTCGTGTAATAAAAATGTAGAAAAAAACTATAACATAAGCGAGTCCTTAGTATTAAGGTCAGCAGACGACCGCTGCAGTGTCAGCGCCGTCAGCGAACACCGAGCACCCTCGTCAAGAACGCCGGGTCAACGCCGGCCGCCGGCTGCAGAGTACTAGATATTAAATGCTAACAGCGCGCCCGCCGCCCGCTGCGCTGTAGGCCGCAGGTTCACATTCCACTTCCTTTACAAGAATCGTAGCAACTACGCAAAACATTTTGTATGATTTATTGTACCTTTCCTCGGGGAAAATATAAATATCATGAATCTTCAAAGTTTAAATACGGTGGTATATAACTTTTTATATCGCTTTCGTATACTGAAGACAAACGACCTCATTATTTTAGTTCCAACTGACCATACAATGTGCTATGTTTTTATAAAAGTAATTTCGATAAGTGTCTTTCCCTTTATGATACCGAGTATATTAATTGTTAAAATAAAATCGGAGTAAAGCGGTAAAAACATTGTTTTATTTATCAACAACTATACAATCTACGAAATGGCTCGTTTTCATTTTTTAAGAAGCCGATTGGCGTGTAATCTGAGAGAGTGCCTCGGCTGCCGGCTGACGGCTACGTTCGGCCGAGAACCCGCGAGCCGAACTACGCCTGTGTGCTTCATACTTCACTCTACACTTCACTGATTAACTTTCGATTATTTCCCCACACTCAAGTTTTATTTAATTCCTCGTTACATCTAACTATGACAATCTTATACTACGGTTGCATCGAGGACGTAATATTGTAAAGTAGATGAAGTCACAGCCCCGTACACCGCCGGCAGCCGCCTGGCCACTGTCGGTGTCAATCGAGTCAAGTTCTGTGAAAAGTCAATAAGCGCCGGCGATGCTGCCCGGCTGATGTACTCCTATGCATCGCTTTATGTACGCCTCTATACATTCTACTGCTATCGTTCAGAAAATGAACAACCTATAGTTCATCACTAAATATGGCGACCCCATGACTTTATCTTAATTATTCTGTGTTGACACAGGTGGTAAATAAATAAAACGAATATTTGTATAAAATTTATTGTTATAAGTTGGATAATTAAATGATGTCGACGCGAGCTCATGTCCTGGTCACACGACACTGCTCATACACTCTCCTTTATGTTATTCTCATCTTTATATAAAAATATATCTTCAGTATAAAGGAGAAGTGCGCGCGCAGCCGCGGCCGAGGGGCATTGGGCCTCCCGCTCACCAGCACATCACACAAACGCGTGTACACGGACGTTTTACAACAAAATTCATAATTATGATGAGGGAGACCTTTCCAAGGGGCCTTACGAGTACAGTGAGCAACAACTCAGGTACAACCGACATAAGTTGAGTCCTCCCCATTCAGCTTACAGCACTGTGTAAAAGTAAATATATTGACATTGTCGTTTGGCATTTTCAAATATGGCGATATTCGTAAATTGTATAAAACTTAATAACAATTCAACAAATAAATTCCGATGCTTCAATGCATGCAATTGGATTTTTTTTCCTTTTAAAAAATTAACGAAAGGTCGGCAATTTTAATTGACAAAATTCATAAATGTCGAATAAAATATTTTTGAATGTAAAACTTACATTACAAATTCACGTAAATAGAATAAATCATTGCTTAATATTACGGTTTTAATACTAAATAATAACATGTTCATATTTAAAATAATTTCTTATCGATATATTAAATTGGACATGCAAATATCAAGTCAATTAAATAAAGTATACTTTTTATTTAAAAATCAAATACAAAATACAGTATAGATTGTGTACAGTCACGAGGCGCGGCGCCTCGCTCTCCGCGCTCTCCGCGCTCTCCGCGCTCTCCGCGCTCTCCGCGCTCTCCGCGCTCTCCGCGCTCTCCGCGGGCCGCATTGTGCACTCAT